CAATGTCTCTGCCAGAATGTCCCCGTCCAAGCATCCCCTCATCTGCCAAACTACACAGGACAATGCAGGGTGGCGTTTGTCTCGTGTCAAACACGGATCATTGAGCTTGAAGGGGAAAACCTTCCTCACTCACCTACTCACTCACTCAACCTGCCTGAGCTCAGTGGGCATGATGGGACAGCGCCATGTTCCTGTTCGCCCCCCCTCCGTCACTCTGAGAAGAAAGAGAGAGTGAAAGACATGAAGAGAAAGCAAGACATGGAATAACAGGTTCCTCCCTTCGGCCTGAGAGAGTGTCGTTACCTCCTTCTGACCTTCCCTGCCACCGCCTCCTCCTCTACCTCACCGCGTCCTTCTCCGCTTTGGCTGTTAACCCCCCCCCCCCCCCCCCCCCCCCCCCCCCCCCCCCCCCCCCCCCCCCCCCCCCCCCCCCCCCCCCCCCCCCCCCCCCCCCCTCCTCCACCCATCCCCTGCTCCACACAACCATCAAAGCGAACACTGTGGAAAAGAGGAAATGTGAAGGTTAGGCGACCTGATTTTTTAGAACTTCATCAAGCGGAGGCCCGTTGAATCCTCCAGCGGGTTGCTGGTTAGAGGCTGGGTTTCTCAAGAACCCCCTTTTACCACCCCCGCCGACCCCCACCCCTCACCCCCCCAATTCACGTAGCCACTGTTTTCAAAGGTCCAGTGACATCTGAGTTAGTAATTTGGCACACAGCTGTAGCAGGACACTGGGGTTTAATTGGGCTGCACTGCTCTGGTGGTTTCAGCAGTAACTGGATTCAGGCCCTTTCCTTCAATCTTGATCCAACAAATCTTCAGCGTCTCTCAGGAGCTCATACTCCATCTGGATGTAACAGCGCCGGAAATTCCAAGAAACCCAAATATCGCTTGGCTGGGGAGGAAAAGTTGGTGCATCGATAAAAGCAAAATGCAATGCAATAGAAAACAGACTCATCGAATTTATCATAATGTACATGAAGCATGTGACTCAAACGCCCACTGAGGTTTCTGCTCCACTGAAGAGACGGAAAACCAGCGGCAGCTGAAAACACCACACTAATGTTCCTCAAATCAATACATGATACAGACAGACAGTAAATGTCACATTTTCTGCATCATTTTAATCCATTTGAGGTTTGACTCACACTTTTAATTGTCTTCTCATTGTGCTCTCTTTTTCTGGTTTAATGGTGTCCATCTGAAGATTTAGCACCAACTGTTTATCTTGATGCACAAGAGCTGCCCGACTAAGAATTTTCGTAGTCGACCAATAGTCGTCATTTTGGGCCATTATTTGACTATTCGCCAACGTGTTTTCGATATTCANGGGGGGGCAACAAAATGGTTTAGCGTTTTACTTCACTATATTTGCATTTGTCTCTTGGATGGGTGCTGCTTTCAGTCAGTGTTGATTTCGTTGATGAAAACTTTGATGAAAATTTTTCATCAACAACCTCTTTTCCATGACGAGAACGAGGTGATGACGAGCTAAAGATTGATCTTGATAATAAAGACTAAGACAAAATCTATGTTTCATTTTCATTGACTAGATGAGATGAGAGGAAAATGTTAGTGGTGCACGATCGGACGCTGAAGACAGAGAACGGCCGTGCTTGCTATTGTCTTCAAATGCTGCATGAGCGATAAGCTGGTAAATTACAGTAAATAGTCGATGCCAGGATGTTTGGCTAGCCAGCAAAAACACTCACACTAGAGCAGCGTCAGCCACTGGTGCGAGATGTGGGCTGTAATTCAGCAGTGAATAATCAGCTGTGTGTGTCTGACTGTGGATGGTGGAGCTGCTGAATGGATTTGTGGAGTTTGTTAGTAGCAGCTAGTCTCACTCACCAGACCTTTCTCAAGAAACGAAAGGTCTGACTGGGCTGACTCTCACTTTAAAATAGGAGAAAAAACGCCCGGCTGCTTATATTTCTTTCAACCAATCTTGGCGGTGCCACAGCAACTGTGCGCTTGCAAAAATATTGCCGGGGGAAACAGGTTTTGGTGTAACACGGCCACAAAAATTTCGCCTACAGGATGCGAACCATGGCAGAAAAATGGCTACATCCCCGCAAGATCAAACACCGCAAAAGTTAGTAAAGGACGTGTTGAAAACTGCTACACAACCGGAGATGGTAGGGCGGGACTTCAACAGGTGGCTCGTTCCGCCCAGTGAGAGGCTGATCTATGCAGCGAACTTCCGCCCACTCAGACTAGTAGCAGTGGTGGCTGTTAGCAGTTAGCTCTGTTTGTTAGCTGCTGAATGGCAGCAGAGCAAGCAGCTGCCAGCCGCCGGCGGTCTTCACAGCTGAACTCCGCAGGATTAAACTCAGTCCGGACTGTTTCAGGAAGGTTTCTGGGTTGATGGTGTTTGACAGGCAGGTAGGAGGCTCAGTTATCTGTGAGTGTAGCTGTGCTGTGAGTAAACAGTCTGAACGCAGATCAGTTTTCTCTGACAGAGATGAAAGTGTAGTTTGGAGAGGACACGGGTTTAAACCTCCAGCTAAGTTATTTTTCTGCATCTTAACAGTCAGATGGATTAATTTAAAGATAAAAAACATAGAAATCATAACTAAGTCGACTAAAAGGTTTTGACTAAAACTGTGACAGATAATAACGACTAAAATGTGACTGAAACTAATCTAGACTAATTTTTGTCTCAAGACTAAGACTTAATGTAAAATAGCTGTAGAAATTAACACTGCTTACAGTCTGGTGCCCAGTTGCTACCTTTTTATAAAGCGCTGATCTCGCCTGAGCACTGTGGGGGTACACGCCTATAAACGTCCCAAACATAGAAAATAAAAGACTAATTTTTCGTCCTCATATGAGAGGTCAGATTGTAGAGACCCAGGCCAACTGAGCAACCAGAAAGCCAAAGAAGTGATTTAAATTCATTAATTAAAGGTGATTCCAGTGTGGGAAAATGTACCCAGGTATCGTCAAAATCAATTTCATCTGCGACGGCCCCCAGCCGGTGATTGGCATTTACTCTCTTGTGCTGTCATTTACAAGATGAAAGGTGTCAGCTCTGTTTACACAACTGCACACTCAAGACTGAACTTCTGTGGGAGCAGCTGAAAGATGTGGCTGGAATATTCTTCTAAAAACCGAACAAAGATAGATGTGAATGGCACTCAAGGGCACAAATCCCAGACACACTGGAATATTTTTCTCATACCGTTCCACCTCATACATCACTGCGCTCACTCTCCGCTCGCTTGAATTGATTCAACACCTTGGAAATACAAGTTTAGTTGGATTTTCTTTAATATAAAATGTAGCAGTTATCAAGAATAATGTCAATTCATACAACAGCATTTCATTTACAGCAAGAAATTAAAAATATTTTCCAGAGACTGTACAAATCTGATTCTGATCAATAAAATAGATGACAGCGGGGTAAGATATGAAGAGGTGAACACGTAAAATAATACATAAAAAGGGAACACTAACATGAGTGAAAGACTAGGGGGCAAAGTAAAGGAGTTATAGGAGGTTAAAATCCCTTTAAAAATGTGTTATAATTAGTTAACAGCATAAACAGTCATATTACCCTTTTTAAAATGGACATAAATCAAATATATAAATATAGTAAGTGGAAAAGGGAGAATAAAAGAGAATTAAGAAATGCGGGCGATGCAACCTGAGCTAGAAATGGTGTATGTGAAAAATTCATTCTAACAGTATGTAGGCCAATTTAAAAAAAAAATAAAACACTGTTACAATATAAATTTGACATTTTGAGAAATACTCACTGGCTTTCTTGCCAAGTTTAATGAGAACACTGATACAACTCTCATGTCTGTATGTTGAGTATGGACCAAGAGTGCGTTGTGTGTCCAACCCATCGTAGATGAAACCACGCCCACTCCTGCTCGACAAAAGCAAACCGCTGGCCCAACAACTGGCTGCCAGCCCACTCTTGGAGACGTGTATCTGCACGACACTTCACACACTGAGTACAAGATGAACCCACACCTACGGACAATTTAGAGTCACCAACTAACCTGCATGTCTTTGGACTGTGGGAGGAAGCTGGAGCACCTGGAGAAACGGGGAGAACATGCAAACTCCACCCAGAAGGGCTCCAGGAACCCTCTTGCAGTGAGGCCACAATGCTAACCACTGAATCACCGTGCCGCCTGCTACAACACAACGTAGAAAATAAATATATAAGGCCAAATGTAGCAAAATTTGGGATGTAAATTACATAAGTAACAAGATGTAATGATTCCCAGGAGGGTTCCCAAACATTTCACCAATGATTTTTTAAAAACTTTTCAGTTACTTTTTTGGTAGTTTAAAGTGGGTGGGACTATTGTGTTACAGCCATACATTATTACACATGCACTTCCCAGGCATTTGAGCATAAGCACACTGCTATCGCTCGCTAACTTTACTCGCTCGTTAGACGTTCTTGCCGCCAACTTGCTGCATATGTCCGCTGCCCCCTCTTATCTCCTTAAAAGCAGGATGACTGGTTTGGATGTTCCGCGACCTTCTTTATGTATCCATGTGTCTTGTTTACTAGGGTTTGCCTCCCCAGTAGCTGGCAGCATTTGAGCTACAGTCATTAAAGGGAAACCTTGCAGATTTTCAACCAGCTCTGTCAGCACAGTGTGGGCAATGTGTCCAGATGAGTGGTGTTTGCCCCCCACCGGTATCGCCACTCATCTGCTAGTCTCGCTCACCAGACCTTTCTCAAGAAATGAAAGGTCTGGCTGGGCTGACTCTCACTTTAAGATTGGAGAAAAAAACGCCCCGGCTGCTTGTATTTCTTTCAACCAATCACAATTGTTCTGGGCGGTGCCACAGCAACGGTGCGCTTGCAAAAATATTGCCGGGGGAAACAGGTTTTGGTGTAACACGCCCACAAAAATATCGCCTACAAGACGTGAACCATGGCAGAAAAATGGCTACATCCCCGCACGATCAAACACCGCAAAAGTTAGTAAAGGATGTGTTGAAAACTGCAACCGGAGGTGGTAGGGCGGGACTTCAGCGGGTGGCTCGTTCCGCCCAATGAGAGGCTGATCTATGCAGCGAACTTCCGCCCACTCAGACTACTCATCTGCTAGCAAAAGGCCGGCAGATAAAAATCAGCAAAGTTTCCCTTTAACTACCCATATGTAACTGTTATATTTCACAGACACTGACCTTCCGTGGCTGGACCGCCCCGACTCCCTGACGGATCAGCAAACTTTATGGCTTTGTAGTCTGCGTGAGGTCAGGTGGAGGGGTGCATCCATGCATGTTCTAGCTAGCCAGCAGCAGTCTCTTTCTATAGCGCTGGCTAGCCGTAAGCTGGCAGCCATTCATGAGGCCTTGTCAGCATGCAAAAAGTGGGCATGGTTTCATCTAAAGTGGGTTGGATAGAAAACAGCTGCAGCCAAGGCTGGAAAGTGATTAGCTTAGCTTAGCATTAAGACAAAGCATGGGAAAATAACTGCTCTGGCTCACTCTCCAAAATTAAAAAATATGTGTACCAGCACCTTTAAATCTTATAAATAAATATCTTTTTCAAAAACAGAAACGATAAGTTCATAAAACCACAACTTTAGAGGTGCTACTGAACATATTTAGGAACACTGGACAGAGCCATGCTAGCCATTTCCCCCTGTTTCCAGTCTTTATGCTAAGCTAAACTAAGCATCTCTTGGCTCCGGGTCAATAAATATTGTATAGACATGAAAGTAGTATAGGTATTTTATTTTAGTCTTTGCAAGGAGCAAATAAAAGGGGAAACTCTTCCTTTAAAGTTTAAAATATTCCTCTTCATCAGTTCTTCACTACAACAGCAGCAAAGAACCGAGGAACTACCAGGACTGTAAGATTGTTAATGATAAAAAGTACTGCCAGGATTAATGACGAGCTGCTTTGAAAATCAGTCAGAAGTTAACAAAGAAAAGTACTGAGTAAAAATGAGTAAGTTAGACTGGGAACAGGAGACTCAAATTAGCAATAAACTTCTAATGCTCATAAAGTCAGGAGCGGCTACTTAGCATTTCTCAGAGTTAAAATCCTGGAAGTGTGCTGTGGACCCTCTATTAGCAGCCTCGCCGAAGCCATTTTTTATGTGAATAAAAATAAAGACTCCACCCTAATAAAACACAATTGTGAACATTTTCTTCTAGCAGACAGCCACAAGTGTCCAGTTCTGGGACGTTAAATGGCAGAGCTGTTATGCTGGGCACCTTCATGTGAAGAGTGGCTTTTCGAAACGCTCCTAAATGGAATATATAACACCTAAATAAAATGGCTCTGTATGTGCTTTGTAGGGGGAAAACTAGACTAGGGTGATGAAATCAAAACACTTGACTGAAAGAAGAGACGCCTCGTGTGAGGAGCTGTCAGAGAGGTGGCTACAGTCGAGATCAGGTTGCGTCAAAAGTCAAGATATGTATAGAAAAACGTTTGCAAAAAAACAACCGGAGGATATTAGAAAATATATTAATTTCTCTTAAATAAAATTACACTTACTGCCCTTTCTTAAGAGTGTACCTGATGATGTTTTGTTTGGAGACATGGAAGCATTATAGAAGCACAGAAACAGTAAGACAGAAGGCAAATATGTTTTCTTTTCCCCCTTTTTCCCCTCAGAGGTTGTGTTCTTTTACAGACGTATGCATGTAAGTTCTCCACAAGAAGAAATATGTCAATCCCTTTGGTTTCTAATGGTCTAATGTTATAAACACACTAAAGACGGAGTCCTGCTTGGCGCGGTTACTGATGTGCTGGCAGGACTGCTGGTGCTGTGATGGTCCAGGCTCGTTCCACATTCTGGCTTGGACCGAGGAGCTCCAAGTCGTTGCCACGGTTGTGTGGCCCAGACTGAGACCAGGATCAATGTTAAAGGCCCGTATTCTGGAGAGAAGCCCTTAGCCTCAGCTCTGTCAGATCTGGTCAGACCTGGAGATCCACATCCAGACCACAGCTGAGGTCGAAATCCAACCTGATCTCAGGCGAAAGCTTATTTTTAGCTCTGTGCAGCTCAGGTGCGGCGACACAGCAGTCTGGCGCTGCCTTGTTTTATTCCCTTTATCCCCGAACACCAGCCACAGCTGACATAGAAAGATAAAAAAAAACCTGCATATTTTTGTCAAAGCCCTTCCCTTTTCTCCTCTCGCAGTCTGTGCGGATCTCAGGAGTGAGTCCAGCCGACTGGAACCCAGTGAGTCTCCATCTCCACTTTCCTCAGCGCCAACCGCAGCTCGCCGAAGGCCGCCGAGAGGTCATCGTTGACTATGACCTTGTCAAACAGGTGGCTGTACTGGGTCTCCATCGCCTGGGCTGTCCTCACCATCTCCTGGAAGTCTTCGTCCTGCAGTGTACGTGAGAACAGAGCGAAGAAGACAGAGGTGAAAATGACAGAAAGCAGAAATGCATAAAACCAAAAGCAAAACAGTCCATTTGAGGCGACTGATCTGCTGCACAAAGAAAAGACTGGCCACAGTAAACAAGAGAGGGAGATAAATCCACGTACTGTAAACACAAATTACACGGCCATGAGCGCGCAAATAAACATAATGTGGGCCGTACGGAGCCTGTTATAACCTCCCAGAGACATGGTACCCACACATGAACCCTGGCACAGACCACGCACTAAAACCTCCCCATGCAACGACCAGACCTCAAGGAATTCTCATCATTTCCTCACACGGTTGTCCAATTCACAAAGAAAATAAAATATCCTCAAAATAAGCAGAGGACAAAACACAACCATCATTTCCCAAAGACAGACATGTAAAACATACATCATTGCCGGTCTGGATTTTATAGACATGATGGGGAAATGACAGCTTGTGGTGACGCTGTCCCATTGTCAGGACAGAGAGCTCACACTGTGTGAACTTCCTGCACAGCCGGCTGGAGCTGGCACTGGAGTGGCAGAAATGGACACGGTGCAGAGGGAGCTCAAAGGCAAACACTCTCGAAGGGCAACAATCATACAGTTTCAAGTGTACCTGAAGGGGCGGAGTCAAAGGTGTGAGCTTGAGTCGGACTCAAACCACGAATCTGATTACTTTAGACTTTCTTTGACTTTTTTTCAACATATTCCACGATGTGTAAGTGCAAAAGTATAAAACTGATCACTTATAGAGAGATAGCAAACGTTAAGGCAGTAACATGGTCAATTAGATTTTAAGCTGTGTGAGAAATAAAGAAAAAGAAAGGTATCGGTTATAATAATCATCCACTTATAGTGATCGATGTGACCCGGACAGACGTGATCACTATAGGACGTCTCCACTGCGCTGGCAAATGTCAAACAAGACAAACACTCTGCAGGCGCACAAATGTCTCTGTGAGGCTGTGATGCTCATCAAAAAGACTGACAGATGATGATGACAGATAAACCTGGACTAAAGCTGGACTGACTGACTGCCCCTCCTAGTACCACGCAAGAACAGCAAGAAACCTCTCTTCAGTTTAACAAGTACAAGAATATTATGTCTGTTTTTCCCTGTTATGTAACATCCCAATCTTGGGTTACTACAACTACGACACTTGTAATTATGTATTGTTAAAAAAAAATGTCTTTAGTTTGTGAAAAACAACAGTAAATTACACATTTAAACAGCTCCCAAATACAAAAAATGTCCCCTGGGGTCTATATATATAAATCAACAGGTGATTTTCTTCTTTTAGAAAAGTTCTAAATGATTGTTTTTTTTCTACCTGGACCTTTATGCTCTGCCATTTCTCCTCTAATCATCACGCTGTAACCTGTGACAGGCTGTTATGATACCACAACTATCACACATTCACATATATGGAGTTTTTTGTTGAGCCGCGAGCGTCACAAAAGTTTACATTACCAAAGGTTTATGACAAAATCACTTGACGACACCGACTCCTGTGTGCGCACGGTGAGAGAGGAGAGGGAGAGACGCTGTGCTGCTGCCAGAGGAGCCGCTGAATGAGTTCCTTCTGAGCGGTAAGTCACTAAAAGAGTCTGAGAAGTCCGGGGCTGTTCATAAAACATTCAGGACGCCACAGTTTATTCCACATTACTGAAGCTGCTCCTGTTTTTTGAACCACTGCGGAGTCTGTAATAATTTCACTTTCAGCCATGCTTGTTGTTGCCGCGGGTAACAGTATGACGTCAATATATCAACAAGTCAAAATACCATGAATATCACGATATGAATTTTTCACATCATATTAAAAATAATACCGGTATTATCGTTAATGAAATAATATATAACCAAATATCAAATATCACAAATTGAATGATCAATTCAGAGTAAATGATACATAGAATGTGAAAAAATTGAGAAAAGACGGATCCAGGAGGATGTCAAGCAGATTTCAGTCGCCGGAGAACGAAGAGCCTGAGCTACACGGCCTAGCTTACACCATGTAACCTGGACCCCAAGGTGTTCCCAGGCCAGACGAGATATGTAATCCCTCCAGTGTGTTCTGGGTCTGCCCCGGGGCCTCCTACCAGTGGGAGGTGCCCCGAACACCTCTAACAGGAGGCACCCAGGAGGATCCTGATCAGATGCCGGAACCACCTCAACTGAACCCTTTCAATGCGAGTGAGATATCCCTTTAAAAAGATTTGTGCCTTATCAGCACAGGAGGAGGGAGCTGCCTGAAATCCTTGCATGCTCACACAGAGGTTTAAACAGGGGTCCTCCAAGGGGATGTTTTCCAAGTCAATATGTAAATCAGCCATCCAGTGTAAAGAATAAAACCACGTGCTAACGGTGAGGAATAGCCAAATAACATATTTTTATCAGGGTGGGAGTAAATATTGCCTATCTGGGGCTCCTGTATTCATAGATAGAGCATTCTGAAACAACCCAGGTATCTCTCCATGGTGGTCCCTCTGAGGCTTTCTGGTTTCAGCTGTGTGGGCCCTGGCTGATCCTGCCCACGGTGCAACAGCAGGGCTAAAGTGGCTGCACTGATTTAGCCTCATGTTTTTACTGGGAACACTCAACTTTAGATTTCTGGACAGATATGGTTTTATAGCGGACCTCTCTGCCAAACACACAATTATAAATACACACAGATGCACATTCATGCACAGGAACTCAAACACACACACACACACGTATACATATGCACCCACACGCATAAACAAGCAGGATCAAGCTGCGTGTGCATACAATGTGTATGCACATAAACAGCCTCGTTAAAGTGTAAAACTCCTAAATGGCTCAGTTTTTGGAGACGCTCCTTCCAGCCAGGAGTTACTTCAATGTTTCTGGTGGTTTTCTGCTTCATAATGGATTAGCTGCGCAGCTAAATATAAACACTCACTTGCTGTGACACTCAGCAAAAGCCCTGTTTTTGTTTGTTTTTTTTGCGCGGCTGTCTCATGTTTTTACCTCACAAAACCCAACCCATGTCCTCTCACATTCTGTTGTCTTTTGTGATGGTTTTATCAGGCAGTGTGTTGGAGGATGACGGGAAGAGGACGGGCTCGGAGAGGGCAGAAGGTTTGTTGGCCTGTGGAGAAAACTGCTCCACAGCGGGACTATATTCTCTGTCATCTGGAGCGAATCCCTGCAGGACTTCCACTATTGGACCTGGACCCACAGATGACCCCTTGTGTCTAACGTCAGGAAGACAACCCCTCTGACCTGTCCTGGCAACTGTACAAACCTGGGAGACTGTGCGCTGTTTTGTGTGTGCAATCTTTCCATGTCCACCAGCGAGTCTCTGCGTCTGTCTCTCGTTAGACCATTCCAGGTAAAAGAACATTAATCACAGCAGGACGCTGCTTAAGGGACAGCGAGCTGGGCAGAGAGATGGAAAGACAATCAGAAAAGCAGAGGAAGAAAATAATAAGATAGATGTAGGATGAAATAAAAGGGGCAGAGAGATGGATATAATGAAGGTAAAAGAGGCTAATGGAAAGCTGGGCAAGGAGGAGAGAGTAGATATTCTTTGGCGTCCACTGATCCGCGCTGGATCGCTCTCCTCAGAGGGCAGTTTGAGCTGATGCCACTTCTGGAGGGCCAAACTCGAGAAGAAAAGCAGCAGGGACTCGTTTATCCCCGCTGCCATTAGATTGCTTAATTTCCACATGAAATGATGTAGTGTCTTGTGCCTGTTTAAGCACTTTGTTCGAGCACAGATAAATGGCCGTTTTCATTGCACAATACGAGGCTGTTGACTCTCACTTTGGTTTTAGCGCCGATGTTTGTCCACGCTGCACATACAGCAGCTTTTAATCCATGCAATGTTTTTATGGCTTTTATTTTTATGGTTTATTTTATTTATTATATTTGTGATTTTAACTGCGGCCGTTGTATTGTAAATTCTGACTAGAGAGGAAAATCCACCTTCTGGGGCTGTAAAGCTTTTCAGCACTTTAGTGGCACAACACAGCGTGTGTCAGCCTCAGGTATCATCTTTTAAAACCACTACACACACCACGTCCTCAACGGAAAACCTGCTTTATTGATCCCAATAAAACACACCTGTCCTCTCTATTTAAAGTCCCCCTCCGCCGGAAAATGTCTTTTTCTTCTGTTTATGTCCCCTGAAGTGTCTGAGCTTCACTATACTGACTGTATCTGTGCAAAGTTTGTCACTAGAAAGGTGTTTCCATGTTCTCATCTGTGCACTGTGCACGAAATCAAAGCAAATTGCTGTCTAAAACGGAAACATATATTGACAGGGGAACAGACTTTTACACAACACCAGCAAAGAAACCTGAAACCTTCAGCGCAGAGAGCAATGTTAGCATTAGCATAGCGAAAGTTTTAGCAGCAAACATGGCAGACTGTACAGTTTTTGGATGTAAACTGGACCCTGGAGCTTCCTTCAAGTATCAACCAAAACCCCATCATAGCAGATATTATTATATGTTTCACAACCACTAATGCTGCGTCAGCCGCTGCCAGTTAGCCTACAAGCTAACAACATAAACATATAAAAGATGCCAACTACACTTAGCATTCTGACACGTATGCTAGTTGCCAATTCAACAACAGACTCCTAATGTGAGTCTGTGTCGGACTGAGGCTCAAACATATATGGCTGAATCTCCCTGATGTTACTCCACATGGCAATGCCAGCCATCTTGATACCTTCTGCTCTTTTACGGATCAACCATGGTTGTTTTATTAGATATGGATACCAGACCTCAAGACGGCGCTTCTTCAGACCAATGAGAATTGCTCCCTTGTCATATACAGGCCCCTAGGAACGCTACGTAGCCTTGCAGCCAATTTTTACCGATGGCCACTCGCAGTATCACAGTGAAAAAATCCCCCTGGGATCCAAAAATAATTTCCACGTCTGTAAAACTGTTGACAGGACACCTAAATCTGTATACAAGGTAGATTATCTCGGGATCTC